AGAAGGAGAGAGAAGAGTGGGAGCGCCAGTACAGCCGCCAGAGCCGCTCACCCTCCCCCCGATACAGTGAGTGTCCCCAGCAGGCTGGAGGGCTCTGGGGCTTTAAAGAAAAGTGTCAAAATGTCAAACATGGTTACAAAAAAAACATAGTACATGTTCCACATTAGCCTCCCAGAAATGAAAGCTCTTCAGACATGCACACGTGTACACACACACACACACACACACACACACACACACACACACAGAGTGATTGCTTCAGTCACAGGTGATGGCAAGAATTAGAAGAAATGCTTATTCCAGCATAGGCTGGTAAGGGGCACAGATTGCAGCCACTGGACTCTCTGGAAACGCTGTCCCCTCATGTGGAGACACCACCTGACCTTCAGCTTTGAGGGCCTCATCCCAGGTCCGGGAAGAGGCTCCGGCGCTGGGTGTTTGCTCAGTCTTCACCTGTTCTTTTCTTTCCAGGTCGAGAATATAGCTCTTCTCGAAGGTAAGGACGCCCATGACCTTCTACTTCCTGGGAAGGTACACTTGTCCTTTGATGGGAGAGCCTGGGGTCCTGGCTCTTACTCCTCCGGCCTCACCCTGTGCCCACCTCCAGCTGGAGGGGTTGGTCCCATCCTTCGGGGAGTGTCCCTCCCACTGCAGACAAGTCCCCCGATCACAGAAGCCTCCGTGTGTTGGTGTGGATGCCTCATCCTCACGGTCCCTCCCTTTCTCTTTCCAGGCGCTCAAGGTCCCGATCCCGAAGCCCCCATTACCGACATTAGGCAGAAGAGTTGGAGGTGGGGAGGACAAGGGGGTGGGGTGAGGGGCTCAAGCTGTGATGCTGCTGGTTTTATCTCTAGTGAAATAAAGCCAAACATTATTTAATTCCCGTCACCTGCCTCAGGGTTGTCTATGTGGTTGGTGCAGGGCTCTCCCCTGCCAGGGCCCACCAGCCAGCAGAGCCAGCTGGGAGGGCACTTGGGTACAGGCCAGGTGCCAGTGCTGCCTGCGTGGGACATCCTGCCCACATCTGATGGCTAAGTGGCAGGCCCCTGTTCATCAGAACCTGCCATGGCTCAGCGAGGCCTGCTCAGGAGGCCAGGGCACAGTCCCAAGGGAGAGGGCCCAGACCTGCCCGCAGGTGTGGACACAGGGTGTCGGCCCAGCATGTCCCACATGGGCCCCTTTGCCCGGGGCCTCTGGCGACAGGTCCGGGCCTCTCCCCGCCCTCGCCTCGGCCCCTGCCCTGGCCTCACCCACACCAGGAACTGGGAGCGCGGCTTTCTGTGCCAGTCCTGCTGCGCCCGAGGCACTGGGGGCTGGCCGTTCCCTCACCCCCTCACTCCAAACCGGTCTGTCCAGCCGTCCACCCCAAGGAGGGGAAGCCTCCCGCCCCACCTCAGGCACCCCAAGAAAGCCAGAGTCCAAAGGTGTGTAAATAAAAGGGGGAAATTTACTTGGAGACGGGGCAGACACAAAGAGGGCAACCTTGCTGCAGTACCAGTGACAGCAGTAGGAGGCTTTCCGGGGCTCAGGCCTCAGGGTGCTTCTGCCGCAGGTGTTTGTCCAGTGTGGCTCGCAGGCCGAAGGGCACACGGCAGTGGGGACACTCGAAGCGGGTGCTGCCAGGCGTCATGCCGTGCATGCGGCGGTGGCGGTTGAGCTTGCTGCTCTGGGCGCAGGCGTAGTTGCAGAGCTCACAGGTGTAGGGGCGCTCCCCAGTGTGTGAGCGCCGGTGCACCGTCAGGTTGCTGCTGTTGGTAAAATGCTTCCCGCAGAACTCGCAGCTGCCTCCGGGCCCACGGCTCTTGCCCGCTGACTTGGGCATCTTTTTGGGTGATGCCTTCTGGCTGTTGGCAGGGTTGATTCTCTGTTCCGTGGTGATGGCTCCCCAGGTGTCTTCACCGGGGCCGGCTTGAGCCCCACTGCCGGGAGCCCCGGGTTCCTGGACACCTGCTGTGGCGGCGGCTCCAGCCCCCTCACCACTGTTGCATGGGAGGGTGCTGGCGGGGGCAGCGGCATGGGCAGCCGGCTCCGGAGGGGCCGCAGAGGCCTGCTCCTGGTTGGTGTCGGCCATGAGGGGGCTCTGGGGCGTCACCTGGCGGTGGGTCTTCTTGTGGCGGTTGAGCTTGCTGCTCTGGGCGCAGGCGTAGGGACACTGGTCGCACGCATAGGGCCGCTCGCCTGTGTGTGAGCGCATGTGCACCTTGAGGTTGCTGAAGGAGCTGAGGGTCTTCTGGCACACGGGGCAGGTGGGGCTCCGCCGGGTGAGCCCGTTCCCACTTGCTCGGGGGCTCTTGGCCTCAGCTGCTGACCCCACCACTGCCGACACGGCTGCGGCCACCTCAGCCAGGCCGAGCAGCGGGGCCTCCGGGGCCTCTGATTCCGTTTGGTAGATGGACAGTCCGTGGTCCCACTGGGCATGGCGTAGCAGCTTCCAGGCCATGGTGAACTGTCTGCCACAGCGCAGGCAGCTCAAGGCCTTCACCTCCTCTCGTTCTGGCAAGAAAAAGAGGCAGAGTGTTAGTGCTGAAGGGGTAGGAGTCACAGGGGTTGCAGTTCACAGCTGCCAGCTGGACGCCTTCTGTGGGACAGGCACTCCTGCAGGGGCCAAGGACTTGGCAGTAACAAGACACACACACCCTGGAAGGACCAGGAAGCTGATGCTCAGAGGATGGCAGAAATGAAAAATCTGCGGAGTGGGTGCTGAGTACCTGAGGATTTGTGTTTGAAAACCATTTCTTTTCTGAGACAGTCTTGCCCTGTTGCCCAGCCTGGAGGGCAGTGGCATGATCTTGGCTGACTGTGACCTCCACCTCCCCACTTCGAGATTTTCCTGCCTCAGCCTCCTGAGTAGCTGGGATTACAGGAGCCCGCCACCACACCTGGCTGATTTTTGCATTTTTAGCAGAGACAGGGTTTCACTATGTTAGTCAGGCAGGTCTCGAACTCCTGGCCTCAAGTGATCCACCCGCCTCGACCTCCCATCCTGAAGTGGTGGGATTACAGGTGTGAGCCACTGCACTGGGCCATGTGTTTGAAAATCTTTTACAAAGTTATGTTAATTGAGTGAGCAATTCGTACATGCTAGGTGCTGAGCAATGGTTCATAGGCCAGCTTTCCCTTAGGAAAGGAAAGTAAGATCTCCATTTTCCAGGTAGGAAAACTGAGGTACAGAGAGACATTTCCCCCAGGTCACAGAGCTTGGAAGGGGTAAAGCTGTGATTCCAATCCAGACTCCTGGCAGAGGGGGAGAGGGCAGAACGGAGGCTTGCTTTTTTTTTTTTTAGCTTTAAATTTTTAATTTAGTATTTAGTATTTTTTGAAGAGACAGGGTCCTGCTATGTTGCCCAGGCTATTCTTGAACTCCTGGCCTCACGTAATCCTTTCACCTCAGCCCTTCAAAGTGCTAGGATTACAGGCGTGAGCCACCATGTCCAGCTGGGAACAGAGGCTTTCAAATAAGATTTTTGGTTTAGGCCTGGGTGTGGTGGCTCACACCTATAATCCCAGCACTTCAGGAGGCAGGCGGATCACCTCAGGTCAGAAGTTTGAGACCAGCCTGGCCAACATGGTGAAACCCTGTCTCTACCAAAAATGCAAAAAATTATCCGGCCATGGTGGCATGTGCCTGTAATGCCAGCTACTTGGAAGGCTGAAGCAGGAGAATTGCTTGAACCTGGGAGGCGGAGGTTGCAGCGAGCAACCACAGCACTCCAGCCTGGGTGACAGAGTGTGACTCTGCCTCAGAAAAAAATTAATAATAATGGAGATAGCTACAGAGGTTTAGCGGTCACTAAGAGGTAGGAGTGACCTGGGCCCCCCATCCTCTGCATGGATCTCAAATTGAGAGCCCCAAACCTGAATTTGGATTTTTCTCTGGACCTTCGGTTGGGGGGTACTATCAGTGGACACTTCCCAGGTAAACTAGCCTTTCCATTCTTCAAATTCTAGAGTCTTGGATGGGGCAACGTGCGTGATTGCACCAGTCCTCCGCCAAGAGCACAGGCCTGGCCTCTGTTCAAATTCCGACTTCTCTGCTCCCTAGTTGTGTGACCTTGGACAAGACAGTTCTCTGTGAGCCCCAGCTGCTCCAATTCAGGGACCCTAGGAGGTCCCCTCCCTTTCAAGGGTGGTTGTGACCTCCCTTGGGGAATGGATGAGTGCATCAGTCCACATAAGCGCTCAAACAGCAGCGCCTGTGAAACCAAGGTGCCCACAATTCTCCAAGCCCTGCAGTTTTGTTCCAGCAATTCCATCACAGCCCGTCTCCCCCTTCAGGCCACTCTCCCTGCTCCAACTCTAAAGCTGATTCAATCAATACAAGCCCCTCCTTCTCTTTCTCACCACCAAGACCCTCCCTGGCCCAACCCTGAATAATTCCACTTCTCAAAGGTCCCAGGAGGAAAAGGGCCAGGGGGCTGGAAATTAGGTTTGAATTAAGCCCTGCAGCCCACACTGACCAAAAGCTCAAGCACCACGTGAAGGATTTTAATTCCCTTCCAAGAGGAGGAACCCAGGTGTCCAGCGCCTGGGAGCTCGCTCAAACCAGGGGATTCCCAGGCCACAGGGATGGGAGATTCCATCAGAAGCACCTTCCCTGGCTCCAAAAAGCTAGCTGTACCAGCATCTCAATCAATAGTGACAGACAGACGGAAGGGGGTGGCAACCTCCCCATTCCAGCTGGCCTCCACTCCCCCTCCCCCTCCCGGCCGCTGCCCTCCCCAGAGGTCCCCCCCTACTGCCACCCTGGTCCAGCCACCTGGCCAGTTATTTCTGGCCAAGGGGAAGGAGAAGTGAAACCAGGTTGGGGGTGTGTGTGGGGGGCAAATCCCCAGGCTCGTCTTCTGGGACTGGCCACACCCTGTAGGCTGCCGTCCCTCCCTGCCCAGCCTCCCCCACCCTCCCTCCCACCACCACTAGTCCCTGCCCTACGACGGGCAGGCCCTGGCCACGCCTAAGCTGCACCCGATGGGACTCGAGAAAGGGGAAGTAGTGCTCAGTGCCCTGCCGTCCAGCCCAGCCCTCTCCAGCAGGAAGCCCAGCCCTTGAACTTGAGAGGGGGACTGCACCCGGCTTTACTCACCTGAGCCCTGGCCGGGGCTGGGGCCTCTGAAGAGCTGACAGCCCAGCTTCTTGTGGTCCATGAAGGCAGTGATGGCCTCCAACGGGAAGGTCTGCAGGCAGCGGCCGCAGGTCAACAGATCTGGGTGTTTGTCGGTCCAGGGCCGGCGGTCTGCAGGGAGGAAGCGAGTGGTGAGCCTGGGGTGGGGCCAGGATGGGGGGGGGGCTGAGGGTGCAGAGGAAGAGGGGAAACCGAAGGTCAGAAGGGAGCCTGGGGGACAGGACGGGGCGAAGGCGAGAAGGCAGGGCGAGGGGGCCCATGCCCAAAGGCAGGGGTCCCACCTGAGGGTCAAAGGTAAGGGAGGCTGGGCTCAGAGCCCGGGCCATGGGTGCCGGGCCCTCACCTGGAAGGTTCGGGGTCAGCGACGTCCGCAGGGTCCACGGGTTCCGCGCGCAGAGGGCGAGGAGGGCGGCCCCGACGGGTTTGGGGTCAGGGGAGTGGTGCGGTTCGCCCCCGAACAGCCCCGCCGGGGACACCTCCTTCAGGGAGAAGGGCCCCAGCCTTGGTGCCTGTCGGGGCGGCTCGTCCGACTCGGGCTTCAGTTCGATGACGAGGTCCTGCACTTCCATCTCGTCGTCTGGGTTCGCGGCGGGCGCGGGGTCTACTCGGCGGGGCGCGCTGCCGGCCTTGCGGCGGGACATGAGTCGCGGGGCCGGGCAAGCTGGCGGGCGGCGGGCAGGCAGACAGGCGGGCGGAGGACGCACGAGCGGAGGACGCGCGGACCGTGCGCGCTCAGGTGAGTGACTGCAGCGACCCGCCGCGAACTCTTACACGTGCTGACCGGCCCGTGGCTCCGCCCACCGGGGCGGGCCTGATGGGAGGGGACCGAGCCGCCCTGCCCGCGGCCTAACTCAATCTAGGCAGTGCCCCTTGCGTTTGGCTTAGTGACCAAATTTAATCACACCGAGTTCCCACAAGGCATTGAAACAGCTATCCCTGATCCCATTTTAGGGCGGGTGAAACTGAGGCGGGATGCCCACACACACCCTCAAGGGAGAAAATAGTCGGTCACGTTTCTTATTAGATGCCCAATAGTAATCTGGGCTATTTCATTAAATGCATTACAATAAAAATTCATTTTGCAAGCATTCACTGAGTGCCCCCTGTGCGCCAGGCTGTATGAAGCACTGATACAGCAGAAAACAGACGATAATCTTTGCCTGCATGGAATTTAGACGGTGGGGGGAAGACACTATAAATATAATTATGTAAAATATAGATGGCCCTTCATGATGACCAGTGCCCTGGAGCAAAAGAAAGCTGGAAAGGCGGACCGGGTTGCTGGGATTGAGGAATTCCATCTTCTCCCCTTTGCTGGGAAAGGGCATGGGGGAGCTGAGGCAGGAGGGAAGTAAGTAAGCCAGCCATTGGACCTGGGCATTGAGGAATTAAAAGGAAAGGGAGGGAGGAGCAATGTGGGCTAGGGATTGAGTTCAGTAAAAAAAATGGGAGCAGATCCAAGTGATCTTTTGATCACTTTAAAGTCTTTTGGTTTTCCTGAGACCGGAGCCTTGGGAGAGTTTTGAGCAGAGGAGAATTGTAATCATACACACCAACTCTGTCCCTAGACCAGAAGTCACCCTTAAAACCAAATAGCCAAGCAGCTCACCTGCCTCCACTCCGCCTCCTTGAGCTCCCCGCCCCTAAGCAGTTCTCTCGGCTCATTGTTTGAAGTGGCATTGACACCCTGCCCCACCCTCAGTCCCCGATGAGTATTCTTTTCTTCCGGGCACTGACCTCAGGAACTGCTCTTGGACTGTCCTCTCCCCCACCCAGCGCAAGCACCCTGAGGTCAGGGCCAGAATCTGTCCTCCCCCACCTGTGCCCAGCCCAGATGCTGATTTCAGATGCTGATCTCTCGGAGTTCTGCATATTGTTATTCAAGTCCGGGCTCCATTGTCCTCCTGAGAGCAGAGGGCCCTGACCAACAGTATCTAAAGTAGCCCCACCCTGCTGAAGGCCTTGCAAATTATACTCCATGACCTCCATCTGTCCCCAGTTCCCTCTTGGATCTCACTTTCTCCATCTGTCAAAGGAGGTAGGGCAGGTTGGAACTAGAGGGTGATCTGAGGTGGTTTCTTCTTCAATGCCACCTCCTCTGATCACCCTTTTTTTAAAAAAAAAATTTAATTTTTTTTTTTTTTTTTTTTTTCCTGAAATGGAGTCTCGCTCTTATTGCCCAGGCTGTGTGCAATGGCACGATCTTAGCTCACTGCCACCTCTGCCTCCCGGGTTCAAATAATTCTCCTCCCTCAGCCTCCAGAGTAGCTGGGATGACAGGCACTCAGCTAATTTTTGTATTTTTAGTAGAAATGGTTTCACCATGTTGGCCAGACTGGACTCAAACTCCCAACCTCAGGTGATCTATTTGCCTCGACCTCCCAAAGTGCTGGGATTACAGGCGTGAGCCACCGTGCCTGGCCTATTTTACTCTTTATATATCACTTTGATCAAACTCTGAAGGATCTTGTTTACGTATTTGCTCGTTTTACCCTATTCTCTCCATTCTACCCTACTAGAATATAGGTGCTAGGAGGCAGGATGGGAGTCTGTCTTGTTCATAAATACAGCCCCTGCTCGTTCATAGTTAAGTCAACAAATATTTATTGAGCACCTGCTATGTGCCTGACAGTATTCTTTCTTTCTTTCTTTTTTTTTTTTTTTAAATAGAGGTGGGGTTTCCCCATGATGGCCAGGCTGGTCTTGAACTCCCAACCTCAGGTGATCCACCCACCTCGGCCTCCCAAAGTGCTAGGATTACAGGCGTGAGCCACAGGGCCTGGCCGACAGTATTCTTTCAACAGACATTTGCAGACTACCAAATTGTGTACCTGGCACTAGGCCTTGGAGATCTAGTGGAAAGCAGAGGCCCACAGGATCTCTGCGTAAGTAGGACCCCGCATGGAGAAAGTGAATTCTGACTGGGCTTGGTGTAGGGAGGTTCATATTTCCCACTCAAGGCCACAGGTTTCCCCTTTGTAAAATGGGACTGCGGGGAGAGCTGGAGGACAAAATGACCGCCTTTGATCCAGCCCAGCTACCTTCTTGGTATGCGGCATCTGAGACCATGATCTCCAGGTTTCCTGTAGAGGAGCGGGGGTTCCCGGCGGAGGCGAGGGGTAGGAGTGCTTATGTGTAGGGGGACGAGGATGCAAAGACAGAGCTCTGCCCTTAACCCGGCCGGGAGGAAGTCTTCCCCTGTCTTGAGCCTCAGTTTCTTCCTGCCGAAAATGGGCATCCCAGATGCCCCCAACTCGCAGGCAGGAAGAGCGGACCAAAGTGCCCCGCAAAGCCGCGGGCCGGGTGGCGACCCGAGTTGTGCTGGCTTCCAAGCCTGCGAGCCAGCCCGTGACCACGTGGGGCGGTAACGGCGGCGCCGGCGGAACCCAGGCTCCGCGGCTCGCTGCCTGCCCGGGCCTCTGCAGCGGGGGCGCCGGCGGAAGTGGGGGCGCCAGTAGCGGTGTACCTCGGTGAGTGCAGAGTGGTGCGGGGGTCGCCAGCAGGTTCCCTTTCCCCGGCCCCAGGTCTGGACGCCCACCCCGGTGCAGCGGCCGGAGTGACGGGAACAGGCAGGACCGCGCCTGCAGCTCCGGCAGGAGGGACGTTCTTTGGTCCGCATCAGGGACTCTTTGGTCCCGGTAACCGGCAGCGGGAATGTCCCACGCGGGTGGGGTGAGGAGAAGGGAGAAGGCGGAAAACTCCCCCTCGGGAAAATAATAAATGGCCACGATAAAGCAGCGTCGGTGGCAGTCATCCCGCTTTACCTTGGTCTGAGTCTGGAGGTGGGAAGAACGTCCAGTTCGAACGCCCAGGGCGGAGTGGGGAGTGGACGCCTGGGGGTCGGGAGGACCTCGTTAGTATAATAAAAGGATAGCAATGGGTGGTCAGGGCGGAATTGAACGGAAACTGACCGGCCCCAGGGAAGAAAGGGAGGGGAGAGATTCTGTGCTCGGGGTTCTGACCTCTGGGGTGGCCCTATTTAATTTGCATCAAGATGTAGCAGCAGACGGGGTGTGTGTGTGTGTGTGTGTGTGTGTGTGTGTGTGTGTCTGTCTGTCTGTCTGTCTGTCCCCGTCTGTGTGTCTGTGTAATTAGGTCTGGAGACTTCTCTGTGTACCGGACAACTCGGCTGGTTCCCCACTCTGGCAATTGTGAAGCATTGGCCCAATGTTTGTCCACTGAGCTGATCTCATCTCTGGGGCACCTAGGCCACCAGGAGGGAGGTCCGTGAAACCCCGGCCTCTGCCATTGATCCTTTAAGTGTTGGTCTTGAATCTAACAGACTAGTTTCTCAAGCCGTGGGGGATGGGCTTGGGAATTTTTTCCTGAAACCATCAGAAATCCTTGCCTTGGAGACTGAAAGGATCAAGTCTTCTGGGGCCAGGTCACCAGGGAGAAAGGATAATGCCTGCCTTTGCCCTCCCGGGCACACCCTGTGTGACCTTTCTTAAACCAGTTTCTTATCTGGTCACACCTTGATGCCACAACTTCCAAGGGCTCCCTGGGCTGGTGGAAAAAAAGTCTGTCTTTCTGTGTGGAGCAGGGGTGAGGGCCTGAGTTTTCTCCTTTTCTCCACCCTCCAGCTTGCACCAGGGAAATTACTTATTTTTATTTTTATTTGAGACAGAGTCTCTGTCATCCAGGCTGGAGTGCAGTGGCGTGATCTCACTGCAACCTCCATCTCCCAGGTTCAATCGATTCTCCTGTTTCAGTCTACTGCGTAGCTGAGATTACAGGCGTGGGCCACCATGTCCAGCTAATTTTTAAAATATTTTTAGTAGAGATGGGGTTTCCCCATGTTGGCCAGACTGGTCTCGAACTCCTGACCTCAAGTGATCCTCCAGCCTCAGCCTCCCAAAGTGCTGGGATTACAGGCATGAGCCACCATGCCCAGCCCATTCATTAATTCTCATTGGTCTCTGTGGCAGGCAGTGTTCTGGGAGCTGGACATCTAGCAGTGGAAAAGCACCGTGGCCACCTTGAAGCTCACAGAGAGGAGATACAGGGAACCGAAAGTGCAAGGGCCCAGGAAGGCATCGCGCCTGGGGTGGGTGGAGCAAGCGAGGTACAGCACGAGGGTGCTGGCAGGATCCAGAACTCACAAGGTCAGGAGGGCTGTGGTGAGGACTCTGGCTTTGTCTCTGAGCAAGACAGAAGCCACAAGAGGGCTCTGAGCAGAGGTGGGATGTGATCTGACTCAGGCGTTAACAGGGTGTGGGCTGCAGACTGTTGGGGGTGAAGGTGGAAGCTGGGGGACCCAGTGAGGAGTTGACTACAGTACTCCAGACAGGAAGTGTCCATGGCTGCAGCAGGATGCTGGCAGTGAAGGAGGTGAGAAATGTGAGGCTGTGAATTAAAAAAAAAATAGGCCGGGCGCGGTGGCTCAAGCCTGTAATCCCAGCACTTTGGGAGGCCGAGGCGGGTGGATCACAAGGTCGAGAGATCGAGACCATCCTGGTCAACGTGGTGAAACCCCGTCTCTACTAAAAATACAAAAAAAATAGCTGGGCATGGTGGTGCGTGCCTGTAATCCCAGCTACTCAGGAGGCTGAGGCAAGAGAATTGCCTGAACCCAGGAGGCGGAGGTTGCGGTGAGCCGAGATCGTGCCATTGCACTCCAGCCTGGGTAACAAGAGTGAAACTCCGTCTCAAAAAAAAAAATATATATATATATATACACACACACACACACACACACACACACACACACACACATTTTGTTTTGCTTTGTTTTGTTTCTTTGAGACAGTCTCAGTCTGTCGCCAGGCTGGAGGGCAGTGATGCTATCTTGGCTCACTACAACCTCCGGCTCCCAGGTTCAAGCTTGTCCTGTCTCAGCCTCCTTGAGTAGCTGGGATACAGGCATGGGCCACCACACCCGGCTAATTTTTGTATTTTTCTTTTCTTCTTTTTTCGAGACAGGGTTTCACCTTGTTAGTCAGGCTGGTCTCAAACTCCTGACCTCAGGTGATCTACCCACCTTGGCCTCCCAAAGTGCTGGGATTACAGGCGTGAGCCACCACACCTGGCCAAATTTTTACATTTTTAGTAGAGACAGGGTTTCACCATGTTGGCTAGGCCAGTGTCAAACTCCTGATCTCAAGTGATCTGCCCACTTCTGCCTCCTAAAGTGCTGGGATTACAGGTGTGAGCCACTGGTCCTGGCCTTATACAATTTTTTTTTCTCAGCCTTTCTTTTTTATGACTTTAGTATTTTTGAAGAGTCCAGGTTAGTTGTGCTGTTTTTGTTTTTTTTTTTTTTCTTTTTGAGATGGAGTCTCGCTCTGTTGCCCAGGCTGGAGTGCAGTGGCAAGATCTCGGCTCACTGCAACCTCTGCCTCTGGGGTTCAAGCGATTCTTCTGCCTCAGCCTCTTGAGTAGCTGTGACTACAGGCACGTGCCAGGGATGGGGTTTCACCATGTTGGCCAGGATGGTCTCGATCTCTTGGCCTTGTGATCCACCCACCTCAGTCTCCCAAAGTGCTAGGATTGCAGGCATGAGCCACCGTGCCTGGCCTGTTTTGTTTTTCCTAAGACAAGGTGTCACTCTTGCCCAGGCTGGAGTACAGTGGCATGATCATAGCTCACTGCAGTTTACCTGGCTTTTTTTTTTTTTTTTTTTGAGAAGGAGTTTCACTCTTGTTCCCCAGGCTGGAGTGCAATGGCAAGATCTCGGCTCACTGCAAACTCTGCCTCCCAGGTTCAAGTGATTCTCCTGTTTCAGCCTCCCAAATAGCTGGGATTACAGGTGCCACCCACCATACCCGGCTAATTTTTGTATTTTTAGTAGAGATGGTGTTTCGCCATGTTGGCCAGGCTGGTCTCAAACTCTTGACCTCAGGTGACCTGCCCACCTTGGCTTGCAACAGTGCTGGGATTACAGGCCTGAGCCACCGTGCCCAGCCCTAATGTTTTTTATGTTTAGTAGAGACGAAGTCTTTTTTCTCGTTTTTTTTTTTTTTTTTAAAGACGAGGTTTCACCATGTTGGTTAGGCTGGTCTTGAACTTCCGACCTCAGGTGATCCGCCTGCCTTGGCCTCCAAAGTGCTTGGATTACAGGTGTGTAATCCTACCACGAAGTCTTACTGTGTTGCCCAGGCTGGTCTTGAGCACCTGAATGCAAGGAATCCTCTTGCCTTGGCCTCCCAAAGTGCTGGGATTATAGGCGTTAGCCACCACACCCATCCCTGTTGTCCTTGTTTGGTAGAATGTCCTTCAGTTTGAGTTTCTTCATAATTATATCCAGGTAATCTATTTTTGGCAGAAATACCACAAAAGGCTGGGCGTGGTGGTTCATGCCTGTAATTTCAGCACTTTGGGAGCCAGAGGCTGGAAGATCACTTGAGGCCAGGAGTTGAGAGCAGCCTAGCAACTGAGACTCTATCTCTTTAAAATTTAAAAAAAAAAAAGAAAAAAGAAACAGTACAGTACATCCTTCTTAGTGTCCCATTCCTGGAGCTGTTGGCTTTAATCACTAAGTTAGCGGGTATATATCCGGTTTCTCCCCTATAAGTTTCTGTTTGCACTTTACAGTGAATGAATATCTTGTGAGTCTGTTGAGCCTATGTAGCTACCTTATACTTCATCAAACTCTCATCTACAAAATTTTTTTTTGGACAGAGTCTCCCTCTGTCATGCAGGCTGCAGTGCCATCTTCCCTCACTGCAACCTTTGCCTTTTGGGTTCAAATGATTCTCCTGCCTTAGCCTCCTGAGTAGCTGGAACTACAGGTGCACGCCACCATGCCTGGCTAACTTTTGTATTTTTGGTGGAGACAGTGATTCGCCACGTTGGCCAGGCTGGTCTCAAACTCCTGACCTCAAGTGATTCGGCCAACCTCAGCCTCCCAAAGTGCTGAGATTACAGGTGTGAGCCACCACACCGGCCCTATCCACACATTTTTGTGTCTGTTCCTTTTATATTTATTTACTTGCTGGTCTACAATAAGGAATGTGTTTTCCTTCTCCTCCTTGTTTATTCATTTATTTATTATCATTATGGATTCTGGATTTCTGTTTTATCTAGTGGGTGATAATATGTAACTATCATTATTGTATTGTTCAAATAATTCCATTTTTGGCTGGGCACAGTGGCTCATGCCTATAATCCCAAAATTTTGGGAGGCTGAGGCAGGTGAATCATGAGGTCAGGAGATTGAGACCATCCTGGCCAACATGGTGAAACTCCATCTCTACTAAAAATACAAAAATTAGCTGGGCATGGTAGCGTGTGCCTGTAATCCCAGCTATTCTGGAGGCTGAGGCAGGAGAATCGCTTGAACCAGAAGTGGGAGGTTGCAGTGAGCCGAGATTGGGTACTGCACTCCACCCTGGCGAGAGGGAGAGTCCTTCTCAAAAAAAAATTTTTTTTTTTTTTGGTAGAAATGGGGGTCTTGTTATATTGCCTAGGCTGGTCTCAAACTCCCGGTTTCAAGTAATCCTCCTGCCTTGGCCTCTCAAAAGTGTTGGGATTACAGGCATGAGCCACCATGCCTGGCTGGGTTCATCTTTTGGCAAATATTTATTGCTTGGAAGTTGAGATAAAGCTGTTATAAAAGTAGTCAAAAGTCCTTGCCTTCATGGGACTCATGTTTTTGTGCAGGTGGCACTTTGTCTTTGATCCAAGCCACTGGGGGGCATTGGCACAGATTTTAGGAGGGGGATCTGTTTGGGACAGGTGAAATGGAGCTGCCTGTTAGACCAGCCTCTGCTTCCACTCCTCCCTCCTCCCCAAGCCCCAGTGCTTACCGTTCAATAGTTTCTTGTCCCTTTTCTTCACTCAACAGTCAAGACAATGCAGGCTCCAGTGACCATTCCTGTGCCTGTGCTCCGGCTGCCCCGGGGCCCTGATGGCTTCAGCCGCGGCTTTGCCCCTGATGGACGGAGAGCTGCCCTGAAGCCAGAGGTTCCTCGAATCCAGGAGTGCCCCACAGCTCAAGAATCCCAGGAATCCCAGGAGCAGCGGGCCCGAGCCGCCCTTCGGGAGCGATACCTCCGAAGCCTGCTGGCCATGGTGGGTCGTCAGGTGAGCTTCACATTGCACGAGGGTGTGCATGTGGCCGCCCACTTTGGAGCCACCGATCTGGACGTGGCCAACTTCTACGTGTCACAGCTGCAGACGCCCATAGGTGTGCAAGCAGAGGCGCTGCTCCGATGTAGTGACATTATTTCGTATACCTTTAAGCCATAAAGACATTGTTCACCTTTCTGCTTGAGGCTAAGCCTCTGCATCCCAGGCCTTCCAATGTTCTGGAGCCAGGAACTCTGGGCCCCATGGAGTTATGAGTTCCCATGGAATTTTGAACCAAGGTTTAAGCAAGTCCGGACTCCTGAGACCTCCTGGGTCTAATCAGTAAAATTCTGCAACTCTAGGAATTCTAAGATCCCATTAGAAGGAATGCTGTACCTCACAGAACTCTGAACTCTACAGAAATATGGGCTTGATGCTATTTCCTGAAGACCCGGGCATCGGGGTGGGGTGATAAAGGAAGACAAACTGCATAGGGGACGTTGTTTATTAAAGAGATTGCAAAGTTCAGCCACCCTGAAGATACTCTTCCCCAGTGCTCCCCTCCTGCTAAAGAACCAGTTACCCCAGGAAAATTCGGCTCCTGTTTTTATTTTTTAAATTAAGTATACGCACGGGATGGAGTCATCTTTAGGGGATGGTAAGGTGATTATCCCAGGGCTGAATCCGGTGGAGCTGGGCCAAGTAGCACAGAAGCCCAGATAAAGGTGTGGGGGCTGCACAGCCACAAGTCTCCTGGAAAGGCTGGAGTGACCGGAATGCAGGGATTGGGAGATTCCGATTTGATTTCATTTCGGGTGAGCGGTGGCTCGTGCTGGGTCACATGGTCCTGCCCAAGCGCCCCTCCTGTTGCCCCAGCTGTGGTTGTTATGGAATGTACGATTCGCTGTCCCCTCGTTGGAGGCAAATGGTCGGACCCCGAGCAGCGGCCCTCCTGAGAAATGGCCGAGGGTTCGCGGTCGGGGTGAAACTTCTTCCCCTCCCCGTTTCTCTCCAGCCTTGTAGCGTGGCCGTTCACATCACGCGCTTTGCTAACCGCCCCTGTCACTGGTAACCTTTCCGTGCATTGTTTAAAAAGAAAGCCGTTTCTGCCCCCTTCTGCAGTTACTTTAAGTTCAGGATGTAAGCGAAGCCTTCCATTAAGTAAAGGTTAGGGTCGTTTCGTCTCTGTCGCGAAAGTGCGGCGGCCGATGATGAACCGCGCCGGGAGCAGCCTCAGCAGCCGTCTGTCGGTTCGCGACGCCGGCTCCGCAGAGGCCGGGACCTAGCTCTCGAGTTGCCTTGGCAACGACGCGGCTCGCTCCGCCCCGGTCCCCTTTTATGGTTTCAGCCCCGCCTTCCGCAGGTTGCCGGGTGAGCTAGGGAAAGCGTGGCGAAAGTGCGGCGGCGAATGTCAAGCGTTGGGCCTGAGCCGGAGGGTGTGGCTTGAGCTCGCCCTAGTTCGTTCTTGCCTCGGTGACCCACCAGCCTTGTCGCTCAGAATTTGGGTTGGCTTTTGGAATTTCTACCTTCTCCTAGGTTTTGTTTTTTAAAATCAGGCCTATGATGCTGCTCATGGGCTCATATTTATTTTAGCATTGTAATTTAAGTTGTATTTTATGCAACTCTATCTAGGCACAGAGAGCTGTTGATGTTAACTGCAGTGTGCAAATGGAAGACTGGAGACTAGCGAAGGGGCCGAGGCTTCGTCTCCAGAGGATCCCTGTCTGTCAGCATCCATCAACTGTACTTATATACTGAATGCAGCTCCTATCTGCCTTTTTTTTCGATTTCTTCATGCCGTTACCACTCTTCATCAGTTAGTCTAGCCTCCATGTTTTTATTTCTTTCCTTTTGTTGAGCGAGACTTTTCCAGGGTCTTGCTCTGTCTCCCAGGCTGGAGTGCAGGGGCGGGATCATAGCTCAGTGCAGCCTCAACTTCCTGGGCTCAAGCGATCCTCCCACTTCCTAAGCAGCTGGAACTACAGGAGCCCAACACCAGACCCTGCAAATTTTAAAATATTTTTGTAGACGGGGCCTCGCTATGTTGCCCAGGCTGGTCTCGAACTCCTGGACTCAAGCGATCCTCCTGCCTAAACCTCCCAAAGTGCCGGGATTATAGGCGTGAGCCGCCGCGCACCGTCAGATGTTTTCATTTCTTCCACTCCATTCCCTGGGCTCTTGACGAATGTGCCGGAGCTGATATTCGTTATCTGGACTCAGGCGGGGAGGCGTGGGCTCAGCTTCGCGCTTGCGCGCTGCTCTTGGAGACGGCGTCTTCTTCGCCCCGCCCCCCATAGTCTGCAGTTCCGGCTCTGCAGATTCGCTGCTCACGTTTCTTTTTTCCGTGGCCCTTTCTGCCTTTTGTTTCCCTCTTCATGTCACCCGCGGGACAACTCTACCTGCAAGTCGCTTAAATTGGTTTTCTGCGTCTTTTAGTAAGCGACGGGCTCTCCAGCCTCGAGCGAAAGTGTGACTGCGAACGGGCAGGCGCGCGCGGGGCTCGGCGGAGGCGCGCTTGGGCTCCCGGCGGCGAAGACTACGACGACGAGGAGAGCGGACGGAGGCGGCGCCTGAAGCAGCGGCGGAGCCCATGCCCCAGGACGGCGGGCGGGCCGGGAGAGACAAGTCCGGGGCCCGGGGCATGTCCCCGGGGCCCCCGTGAGGAGGCGGCGGCGGCTATGGAGATCCCGCCGCAGGAGGCGCCGCCCGGGCCGGGCGCAGACGACGACGTTGAAGAGGCCCCCGCCGAGGCCGGGTGTCCCAGCCCCGCTTCGCCCCCCGCGGATGGGCGCCTCAAGGCTGCAGCCAAGCGCGTCACGTTCCCGTCCGACGAGGATATCGTGTCTGGAGCAGTGGAGCCCAAAGACCCCTGGAGACATGGTAGCTACCGCGGGAGAAGCGGGGGCGGGCTCGAGGGGGACCCGGGAGTCGGGAGGGATCGGTGCAGGGCCTGGCTGAGGTGGCGTTCAATAGATTGCACGTAATGGCTAATTAAGGGGACAGTCGTCAGTTTAGAGTCGGAGGCTGTTAGAGAGGGGGTGGCCATGGAGTTGGGAAGGTGAAAAGTACCTGGTTTCTGCCGCACCCCACCCACCCGAGACAAAGGAGGTGATCGTTTTAGGGTTTAAAACGATGAGCATTAAATAAAGTTTGGTGGTTTGTCAGATGGGGAGGGTGGCAGCCTTTGCGTTCGTAGTTCTACCAGAAAAGGAGAGAAAGAGCGGCCAAGGGAGGAAGAGCGGGTCAACATTGGCCCTGAAAGGGCAGTTGTAAGAGTTTGCTGGGTCTGTGAGGCTACGAAGAGGTTAAGTTGCTGGTCTGCAAGCCTCGGGGAAAGGAGTGATCGTGTTGGTCACTTTCTTGGCTGGAAAGAGGAAGAATATAAACCTGGACTGTGGCTGTGGAGGACTTGGTAAAAAGGGAGTCATAAAGGAAGCTCCCAGAAGAGGAGCAGGGCTGGTGGTCAATTTGCGGTTAGGTAAGGGAGTCAGAGGCAGTGTCGTTTTTTCTTTTTATTGTGACGATATCTCATTATGTTGCCCAGGCTGGTCTCGAACTTCTGGATTCAAGCGAGCCTCCCCGCTTGGCCTCCCAGAATGTTGAGATTACAGGCGTGAGCCACTGCCTCCAGCTGCAGTGTGGTGTTAAGAAAAGCCAGCGCGGCAGAAGGAAGGCTGTCAGTCGTTCAGGAGCAGAGGATGTTTGGGGCATGGCTGTGGAAGGGTCTTCTTGTTCCTTCCTGAGAAAGAATTGGGTGGCTGGACGCATTGGCTCCTGCTCGTAATTCTAGCACTTTGGGAGGCCGAGGCAGGTTGATCACTTGAGGTCAGGAGTTCGGAAGCAGCCTGGCCAACATGGGGAAACCCTGTCTCTACTCAAAATATAAAAATTGCCCGGGCATGATGGTGGGCCTTGTAATCCCAGCTACTTGGGAGGCTGAGGCAGGGAGAATGGCTTAAACCTGGGAGGCAGAGGTTGCTGTAAGCTATCACAACGTTGCACTTCAGCCTGGATGACAAGAGCAAAACTCTGTCTCGAAGAAAAAGAAGAATGAGGGGATGTTATCAAGTCAGGAACTAGAGTTGCTGGCTATTAGCCGGTGAGAGAACTGAAGAAGTTTGACCACTTGAGGTGTTGGGAGAGCGGGCAAGCCCACTGGAGAGGGCCAGGTCGGTGTTGGAGCTGAAAGGAGTGTATTGGAGCCATAGGGCTGGGAAGGTGGAAGTTGCTTGGGAGATGCAGGGCAGTGTTGAGTCCGTTTTGTGCTGGAGAAGTCTGTCAGTCCTGCTAGGGTGCAGCCCGTGAAGTCAGGGATTGGACTGGCTGTGGTTCTGTAGAAGCTGATCTGCCGGCCCAGGGTAAGGGGAGAAACTTTTCCAGTCTGTGGACAGTGGAGGAAGTGGTGGTTTTGATGTGAGGGTGGGAATCATAGTAACTGGAAACTGAACACACAGGGAGTTCATCATGAATGACAGTTTGGTTACTTCTTATTATTGTTTTAGATGGAGTCTCCCTCTGTCGCCAGGCTGGAGTGCAGTGGCATGATCTCAGCTCACTGCAACCTCCGCGTCCTGGATTCCAGCAATTCTCCTGCCTCAGCCTCCTGAGTATCTAGGATTGTGAGTGCCTGCCACCACACCTAACTAAAAGTGTTTGTATTTTTAGTAGACACAGGGTTTCACCATGTTGGCTAGGCAAGTCTCAAACTCCTGACCTCAGGTGATCTGCCCGCCTCAGCCTCCCAAAGTGTTGAGATTACAGGCGTGAGCCATCACATCTGGCTGGCTAGTTATTCTTAAAGAGACAGTGGTTAAATTAATACTTTTGGGCTGGGTGCCATGGTTCATGCCTGTTACCCCAGCACTTTGGCAGGCCAAGGTGGGCAGATCACCCGTGCCCAGGAGTTCAAGACCAGCATGGGCAACAAGGTGAAACCACATCTCTAAAAAAAGTAGAAAAATTAGCCGGGTGTGGTGGCATAAGCCTGTAGTCCCAGCTACTCGGGAGGCTGAAGAGGGAGGATGACTTGAGTTCAAGAGGTTGATGGTGCAGTGAGCTATGATTGCGTCGCTGAAATCCAGCCTGGGTGACAGAGATCCTGCCTAAAAACAAGAAAAAAAAAAAAAAAAAAGAGAGAGAGACTTTCGGCACTGGGAGCCAGCTAAGTCCTTGGGCTCTACACCCCAGGGATAGGTGGTTAGTTTGGGACTAGGGCACAGTCAGAATGGCTCCTGGCTACAGCATGGTATCCAGTCCAGAGCAGGAAGGGGAAAGACCTGGCGAGTCAGAACAGGGTGGTTCAAGAGCAGAGGCTCCAGGTCAGAGCCTCGAGACCTCAGGCTGGTTCCCTAGCTCCTGAGCCTCAGTCTTCCCATCTGTAAAGGAGGTGGTAATACTCTCACCATGGGATTTAAGAGAGGACTGGATGAAGTTACATATGGGAAGGAATCCGCTAGGGTGAGCGTTCTTGATGGCGGTCGTCGTCGTTAAGGCAGTGTTGGTCATCTTCGGGACTGGAGTAGAGGAGCTCATGCGTGGGGTGGGGCCTGGATGTGGCTGCCTCAGAGCTTCCGGGAGAGGAGGGAGGTGGCAG